TCTGCTGAGTAGCATAAAGATGCTCTGATCAAATGAGGTTGAAAGCACTTCTTCTGAATCATTTTTGAAGCATGTACAGCCCTACAAAATAACTTCTGATTACTACTTTTATTACACAGATAAATGGATACATTGATGGCTACAAGGCAGTGATAAAAGTAGAGCAAAACATTACTTGGCAAGTATCACATGAATCTGTCAGGGTAGCCTAACCTCTCTCCCTCTTCTTCCCTACCTGTGCATACATTACTAGGAAAGTGCCAAACAAAAATATTCAGAGCTGCTTTGTAAAGATAAAGCACAATGAAAATCAGCTAACTGAAGCTAACTAAGAAAACACCACTGCAGAATGAAATGTATCTATAGGTGGTCCTTGCTTAATAACCACTCGTTCAGTGACTGTTTGAACTTACAACGGTGCTGAACAAGTGGTACTTACAACCAATCCTTGACGTTTTGGCCATCGCAGTGTTCCTGTGGTCATGTGATCGGCTTGCAATTACAATGTCGCAGTGTCCTGCAGTCACATGATCTCCATTAGAGACCTTATTTGCTGGCTTCCTACAAGCAAAGTCACTTGGGAAGCCAGCAGGAGGTCGCAATGGCAACCATGTGACATCATGCTTAATGACAGCGCAGGATTTGCTTAACAATGGAAGCTGGGAGTGCTGGAACTGCCATTGCTAAGTGGTATGTTCACATGACATCATGCTTGATGACCGCATCACTTAGCAATGGAAATTCTGGTCCCAATTGCCATTGTTAACTGAGCACTACCTGTACACTCATAAGTTCACACAAAGTTCCTGTGCATCTGCACATTCTTCTTAACAGATTCTGGATATTTTGTCCTGTTGCCGGGACATTTTAGTTGCTTTTCCTAGGAGACCCTTTTGAGTAAAGCTTGTCTGGATCCATCAGAAAGCCCACATCAGGCCAGCAAAGCTAATGGTATCACCACTAACCAAACCAAATATAGCCAAAAACAATTACTAAAAATCAAAATGAAAGCGGGGAAACCACTCTCCAATTTATTTATTACCATATATTCATTTTTTTCAAACCACATGAAATGACAATTAAGTTTCTCTAAAAGCTTAGAGGTAATTCCCCTTCCAATTATGGCACCAGATTAATATGTTTGCTGTGGGTACAAATTGTCATAAACCCCTAAAGAGTGTCTATCTAATAAATACCTGGTGGTTATTATTTTTTTAATAATTAGTTTTACATTCCTGAGCTTGTATACATCACTGCAGGATAAAAAATTCCCATATACAGACCCATATACCTGAATTGATTCATACACACCTATCCCACCATTCCCTTTCAAGATAAGCAATGTCAATCAAAACACTGAAAGGAAATAAGAAACAGTAAGACTAAAAAATTGAAGTCATGAATAAGGGGAGAAAAAGGAATCTAGCTAAACCATTCACTGAACGTCTCCATAGCTTTCTGCCCTTGCAAGGCATCCCTGTTTCCATCATAGCCATATACTGCTTCATACACTGCCTTTTGTTCTTTAAACTACATCTCTTTCTTTAATGAAGATCTCATTGACTCAAACTACAATTTTCTTGACCTTCCCCTTCCTCTTGAGCCATTCACTCTTACTTCATATATTTGTTTTGCAAATAAGTCGTTCTTCATTTTCAACGCACATCTTTCATACTGATCATTGAGTTTTATAATCAATCCATACTCATAATACCTTTCTTCAAAATGTCAGGCATTCACAGATGCAGCCTTCACACAAACACTAAACAAACTGCAGCGCCACTACATAAGCAAACCTCACTCATTTAACATTTTTTGAGTGACACCATCTACATATGGAGTCTTACAATTTTCAACATTCTCACAGCATATCACTCTTATTTTTTACATTCACTTTTGACCAGAGGTTCCTTGTTTAGCTCTCTTCACCCACTTCTAAAACATTTTATTTTCATCAAAATAACTCTGCACTTTCTCTGCTTGTTCTAATTGTAACTGTCCCTTGCTCTTTGGCTACATTCTCCGCAACTACTTTTTCTCTCTGTACACCTTATACAGTATCTTTCTGTCATTTTTTGCAGTAATTCTTATATGCATTTTTTCCTCTTTTACAATCTCATTCCATCAAGCATACCTTTTCATTCTTATTACTATATTTCTCAATCTTACTTATTACCAATATTTCTCAAGCACTTTGTAACATTTGTTTCACACTGTTCTAGCAGTTTCCACATAATCTTTCCTAACATCCGCTTTCTATTCATTCTGTTTGGAAATTAATCTATATTTGATTACTTTTTTCATACAGAATTGTACTTTCTTTTTTTACAGTCAATATACTTCTATTCTCATTTCTTTTAACTACTTTTCTTTTCTTCCATGATTATTTTTCCTAAGATTCATTCCTGACACAACCAAATAATGGTTTATATCACATTTATCAACTCTGCTACTTTATCATCAATATGCTGGTCAAGATATAGGGAAGGAAAAGAAGAGGTCAACAGCAAATGAGGTATTTAGATGGAGTAGTGGACGCTACAGGAATGCCTCTGCAAGAATTCTGTAATGTGGTGAGAAACAGGAGGGTTTGGAGAGCATTTATACAAACATAACATCACCCTTGCACTCTTCACGGATTCTCTCATTCATCATACACAATCAAATAAATAATGCCTTAAGATTTATATTAATTTGTTTGCCTTGTGTATTAAACTATAAAGTTGAAACTAATAGTCCTTTTTCTAACCAGATGCTTGCCAAATATTCACTGTTCTCATTCATTCTTGGGTGTCTGAATAATGCAATTGTTTTCCCATACTCTCTCCTCCTATTCCCACTTATCTGTTCATGTTACCTTGTAAAATATTTTTTTCTATGGATTGCTACAGAGCTTTCCCCAAAACTCATCTCTGGTACTGGAATTTACAATACAATTACCATCAACCTGTGGATTCCTACCTTCACACACCTCCAAAAACCTAGAGACACTTGTTCTTATTTTCTGACATACAACTTAGCTCTTTCATTCATAATTAATTCTATGTCTTCATTTCCATGCATGTATCCATCAATTCCACTCCACAAGATCAGACCACCTTTATTATATATATTGTATATCTTCCCTTTTCTCTTTGTTTCACAAACACCATATCTACTGTACATACATACATACATACATACAAGTAAAGCCAGGTTTCACCCAATCATGCTCGTGGTACTCTATGCAGGCTAGGCTCTCTAATCAAGAGATTACCTTCCAACCCACATATTCTTGCCTGCATCTCAGCAACCTGGGAATACATGCATGTCCTGACACGCAGTCAGAATGCCAATGATAATCTGATGATTATACATCTTGTTTGTTCAGCACTGAAAAAAACATTGGCATAGCTCTGATAATTCTATATAGGACTTAATAAGCTAAATTCTAAATGAGACCTATGCTCAGACTTATTTCTTTGTGTCTTCCTTCATGATCTAACAGAATACTGCAGAGAAATTTCCAGTTTACCATTGCCTATGTTCATACAGTGTTAAGCTTTAATGTTGAAACTGGTTTGCTGAAGAAGCCACAGTGGCCTGGTTTGCACATAATGACAAGCTTCAGTGAGTGCGCTCATTCATCATAATGTCAAAAACAAACCATATTATGGTTTACTGTAACTGTGAACCCAGTCTGTGTTCTTTACTTCATCCAATCTTGGAAAAAATGGTTTCCAGCTTCCTGAAAAACTAGCATCCTAAACCAACTACAAATTAAAGCTTAGGAGCCTAGCGTATTCCAAAAGTGATAATGATAGTTTCCAATTCAAGTAAAAGAAAACCATGATTAGAGACTTCCTGATTTAGTAACAGATTTTATCAAGGGAGAAATGAAGGGAAAAGAGTTGTCAAGCAGCAACACGATCATTCTAATGCAGTGAGTGTCTCCCTCAGCTGAAAGCAAGCATCCAGTTGCCATAGTTATCAACCTTCAAATAGCATTGGAAGGGGGGGAAAACGTACTGCCTTTATATTCAGCACAATATTGATGGTGAATGGAAACACCCTTAAATGTTTTCCTTCAAGCGAAAAAGAAGGATCATTACAGCCATTTTTCTTTGCTAAAAATATATTATATTGAACTTATGTTCCACATAAAACAGGCAGAAACTCCAACTGCTGTTTAATCTCATCCAAGGGGCTTCTGTAAACCCAATGGAATCTCTAACTTGTTTTCTTGAACAGCAACCCACGTATCATATTGCAAACCACTTCTGAAAATTATCCTCCATTTTACAAGCAGTTTGTCATTTAAGGATGGGGGGGGGGGCAGGCTGCTTCATAAATCCTTCCTTAGGTGCACATAATGAGTCTCACCATTTCTGAGACCCTATCCATACTATTTACTAATATTACCACTTATTTACAGCTAAAAATGGCCTATGCTCAATATTTTAATCACATTTCAAAAACATTCAGCAGTTTAACAAGCAAGCTTGAGGTTTCTAGATTTCCTCTGCAAATTATATTCTAACTTTTGTTATTACTGTTAATTTTGAAAGTCTGTTACTTCACCAAAAATGAGATCACCGGCAGTGAAGAAAGTAACAATTCCTTTGTTCCATTACAGTATTGAGAGATCCTGATGTAATTCCTCTACTTCAGAAAAAAGGTTAAGCACTGTGTACACCTAGCATAGCCCCTTACAGAATAGAACTACCGGAAACAGACTACTGCATGGTGAGCCTGTCTGGTGCTGGAAAACTTTTATTCTGCTCTTTACACACTGTTGTGTTACAAGAGCCACCCTGGTCTAGTGGTGAAGGCTCCAGGCTAGAATCCCGGAGCCTGAGAGTTCTAGTCCGGCCTTAGGCACGAAAGCCGGCTGGGTGACTTTGGGCCAGGCACTCTCTCTCAACTCACCCCACCCCACAGGGTTGTTGTTGTGTGGAAAATAGGAGGAGCAAGGAGTATTATGTATGTTCGTCACCTTGAGTTATTTATAAAAAATAATAAAGGTGGGATAAAAAAATCTATTAAAAAAAAAAAGACTCTGTCCTGTCCCTGAAAATACTAAATAAAATTAAATAGAGCCTTGGTTTATTTCAGACATATTTAGACATGGCAATGGAAATGTTAAGTACATATTACTTGCAATCAGTAAAACTGGATAAAAAGGACAATAGATTGAAGTTTATTTCAGGTAAGATGGCAGCATTTTGGGCTGATGATTCAGAAGACTTGGGCAATGGTACTTAACCTATTCTGTATAGTGATGCATTCCACATAAGGCATGGGTGGAGAACATTTTGGGTTAAGCTGTGTGCTGCTTCTTTGAATACCATCTGAATACATAAGGCACTGTGGTATATATGTGTATGACATGAACCTTCTTACACAAAAATTATTTCATACACGTCTTTTTGCGGGTGGAGAAAAGATCTCCCCTTTTTTAATTTAGAGGAAATGGAACAATCTAGTCATGGAAGAAAAGAGCCA